TATTATATATTATCTTCCACTCAAAACAACAAAATCCCAACAGGACACCAAAGCCAAAACCAAAAAACATCAACTACAATAGACAGACAAAAAATTCATCCAAGACGCAATAGAAACCTAACAACACCAAGAGTTCAATTCAACATACCCTCATCCTCAACATCAATCCCCTAGATCTTTTCCAAAGCTCAATACAAAGTACCCTTCCGCCACTTATTTTAACATCACCACAACTTACACCAAATATTCTATCCGATTATTTAGGTTCAACACTTATTTCCAAAAAAATTCGCGAAAATCATTTTAACCACCCCACGTCAACCCATAGACTCCCACTTTGGATGACCCAGTTATTTTCTCGATGCTAACGGAACCTTGTAAATAAACCAATTGAAATGTCCACAGAGACATCCTTGTCAATATCAGAAACACTATCTCTTCCATCAACACCTTCGGTAACACGTATAACGCCATATAATAGTTTTCCAACAAATTTTCCATATCAATTAAGCGATCGATATCAAGAATTACAAAAGACAGGTAAACCCCTCTGCTTAGGTTGGAATTTTTTTGTACAATCACCACCATTAATTGGACAACACCTCAATAGTAATTGCATCCATAATTGGGTCTTGAATAGACTACAAAATAGACACGATATACACAAAGACATTCAAGAGCATAATATTTAAATACTATGACCTCAACTTTTAGTTCTTAAACTTCAAATAACTGTAAAATTAAAAAAATTTGTACATCACCCTTTGCTACAGTCACAACCAGATATAACAGTTCAATCATTCCTCATTCCGTTTAAAAGCACAGAATTATTTAATTTATAAATAGGATAGATACATAAAGAAAACAATGGGTTTTATAACCTTCTACAATCCCCCTTTCAAGACTATCACATTTAAGTATATTTGTACCTTTTTATCAAGTATGTTTTTTTCTTTCTTACTTGAACCAACAAATCATCAAAACTCCTCCTTCCGATCAGAAACATAAGATCTCCTCGTAACTCATTATGATTGTGAAGATCACCAACAAAAAATTTTTAAAAAACACAACTAACCAGGTCACACAAAGTGCATCTGAGCCACAAGAAATCGAATTTGACAACTGTAACCGCAATGCTTTACTCAACACCCGCGCTACAACTCTAACGGTTTATAAAGTCACAGGAAAATTTTTTGAAAAGGAAGTACCTTGTTCCCAAGTTTCAAAAAGAAACAAATACAGAATCGATCAATAATCATTCTATCAAAGTACAATAAAACGATTATTACACATGGCCCCAAAAAATGCAAAAATGAAATGAAACGTCTAAAAATAGTCACTACTAAAGAAAACAATAGAAAATAGTCAAGTTTCACGTTTTTCGCAGACCAAGCTCAACTTGAACAACACCGAGGCCATATTCAACTGATGAGAAAAGTTTCCTTATCATTGTGTAAACGGACGTTTAACTTACAATAACTGACATCCACGATAAAGACTGGAGACATCAGATTGGAATAAAAAACCCGTCAAATTGTACAGCAGACACTGAAGATTCAAGATATCGAGAAATAACGTTTTTCGATTGGAAAATTGAACTAGAAAAAGTGCAATTAACAACTCATTTAAGAGATGACACTATTTTATATAAGGGAGTTTGCTTAATTTCTAAAAATGAACAAGGATTTTTACTTCCCACAACACTCAAATAGGCATCAAAAGTTTGATTTTCTTAAGTCACATGTTTCACATTCCAACTTGCTAAAACTCACGTCAGAATAATAAAAATTCGCAAAAAAAGTTCATAGAACTCATATCTTTCGATACCAAGTTCTGATCGAAAAAGATCAAACCCAAATCAATATAAAAATGTACCGGGAATCGAAAATAAATAAGCACGTTTTCAAAATTACCCTGAAACAGAATTAGCATCCAAATAACCAAAGCAAATTTTTTGCACCCAATACTCAGAAACACTTGTCGAATACAAAACAAAAGATTTTGATATGCAAACAGTAAATAAAAAAAGACATTGCCGCCACAAACCGAAATTAAGAACATGAAACATCTTACATCCCGGTAACATTTTACAAAAAAACGGCAACACTGGAGGAAAAGTTCTCCACGAAAACCATGGTGTACTCGCCTATAAGAACTATCACTCATGATTAACACATATTTTGATGCAATTCATTATGACATTTGTCTAGATTTGAAGCTTAAAAACAGACTTAGCAGAATTTTTCAAGAAATTTTGCTCTCAGAACTCGAAACACTACATCATTTGTGTGAATTAGAATGAACTGAAATATTGCAATCTCTCGCACTAGCAGTACTTATGCAGGATACCTTCTATCAAGGAACCTTTCTAATTTCATTGATTATGAAGAAAACTTTCTCTGGTTTTACACTTGCCTTCAAGTCTCACCATTCTATGTATTTAAAGACAAGAGATGCTACTAAAGAATACCTATATTTAAAAAAAAATAAAACACACTTCGTAGTCACATTATCACATCGAACATGTTTTTGGGATACAGCTGTTCCATGTGGATCAGCAAAATAGCCAAAATATAGTACAATTCAACCCACACGAAGACAAATATAATAATCTTCTCACACCATATCCTACTTTAAAGCAGTTTTTAAAAAATCTGTCACCCAAAATCATCCGCGAAAGAGCTCCATAGACAATCCATAGACATGTACTCGAAATCAAATATAAAACATCACATTCTAACACAACTAACAGAAAATTTTTCCATCAAAACCGAATACATCTTTTACCTTAACAGTACTAACAAAAACTTTGATCTATCAAAGTTTATGCATAAAAGAACACAAAAGCTTACGAAACGTATTTTAGTAAGCTTCAGCAATTTGCTGTGACATTCAGCGTCCTATCACCAAATGAACGAGATACTTATCGTTCTCACGAAGTTATGTTGAGAACTAAACTCAAACAGACTCCCATTTACAAAAAATGTTTATCCGAAGACAATTCCTTCACAGTTCACCATCCTGCAATCCTCACCACCCTTTCAAGTTAACTAACTCTAATTACACATCACCAGATTTCCTTAACTTCACTTATTGTATCAAATCAACGAACCTCTACGGCATCCTCCGTAATTATGATCCCGTTAGACAAATGTATATCTTGTTCCTCCTCTCATGAAGACTCCTGCCCCATTTTATCCCGCAAGTTCAATTTAAAGTTTATCCCGCAAGATGTAAAATTTAATTCAATTCATTAGCCAAGATTTTTACGCAACCTCTGATGAAGTTAACATCATCCGCGCAATAGAATTTTTTTGATAACTTCTACGCAGTGAAAATGTAATTAAAAACAACTTCCACACTCGAATTTTTTTTCCAAATCCAATCCTATTGAATTTTTCAAGCAAAATCGTTTTAATAATTAGCAATAAATTGCTCACAATGCTGTAAATTCCCCATACGATTAGTAAACTAATAATGAGTGATAAATTAATTGCACTAAAATTTTATGTGCTCAAATTGTGAAAATAGCTTTTCTTATTCCACTCTCCCTTATTCACGCATTATTTCCCAACAAATTGAGTAACTTGCCACTGTAGAATTGTTTTAGAAATGATTTTCCAATTTGACAAACTAACTGATAACGCCGCTAACTTACTTTCACGTGTTTTAAAACTTTAACTTAACCCGGTTGGAAGGAATTATAACTACGCTTAAACTAACTAACCCAGCTTTCCGCATGTATGAAAGAGTCTCACAATTACTCAAACCAGATTAAACCCAGATTAAAACTGGATAAATTAATCTTTCGAAATTCGTTTTTAAGTTTTATTAAAACCACATGAAACACAAGAACACTAGAAGAACCACACAAATCAAAACAATCCATTTTTGAAAAAAGGACACAACCAAAGAACAAAAGAGAAAAATACCTGACAAAATGAACAAAAATTTAAACACTAAAAGAGATTCTGCTTAAAGAGATGAAAAAGTACACGCTACTCTGGCCTCACCCTATACCTTGGATAAGATGAGCTCTAGCGTGAGCAACTCTTCAAAAAAAATCAATAAAAACGGTTTTGCGAAAACATTGAACAAAGATCATACTAAAATTGAAATCACTAACAAGGTGCAGAAAAAAATTAATTATGTGAAAAGATTTCTCAGGGCAAAATGATCGAGCAGCAATGGGATATGAAACTCGGGGACATTCGAACTCTGGAATGGCAAATCTATTGATGGGTTACCGTAGTCACAACTCTCACATGAATTAAAGTATGGAGCCAATATCGCACCAAAGGTACCCATTGAACAAGAACGATGATCAAACAATATTGAAATCAATCATACGAATCCTGGTCACTTGGCGCTTCACACGGAGAACTCAAATCCTATCTCACTATTCGATGAATAATTGAAAATGCACGTGGTCTCGCTCTTTTTAACGAAATCGAAAGTTCATCAATTAATTCTGCAACATAGATCCAACCCCTCAACTCAATCACGATACGCGAAACTTTCTCTTACAATACGAGCAACTGTACTCCTTCTCTCTCTATCAAGACAACTACTCCACAACAGGAGCAACTGTTTCTCTTCTCTCTTCACTTTTTCACCGATTCAAACGAATCTACTCCGAGAAGAAATAAAAAAAAATTCTCCATCCATCCTTGACAAGAACAAACTTAAAACTGTTAAAAAAAAAACCCGGATGGGTGGAACCAAATCAAAATGAGTATTGACTTGATCTATTTAGACTAGGAGATATAAGAGTAAGATTAGGATGGATAGTAGACTAAGAAGTTGCACGAACCTATCCGGCTGAAAATAAAATAGCGTGACGAACAGACGGTGTAACTTATCCGAAATTACTCTATGAGAAAGCCACCCCGGACTTAATCTCATTATCGTTAAGCAAACAACCACTGCTGCTGGAGAAAAAACTCAGTGCAATATTGGGTCTGGCTACAATATAAAATTGTATGGCGAGAATTGCTTACCGTCTAGATGTGATATGAAGGACCTCCGTTGAGTATTTCTGATTTTGCATCTTATTGTCGATGTCATTGTTTAATGAAGTATAAAAGGCAAAGATAACCAGGAAAAGGCCAAACAAGACCACCACCGTGTATTTAACTGAAACATGCTAAACAATTTCTTACAAACACTCCGTGAGACACATTTCTTACGTTTAACGATTACAATTTTCGATTAACTTCTGTAAAAAGAGGCGCTCTTTCTTACCTTCTTAAAAAATTTTAACATTTTTTTCCAATCGGTCGAAAAACTACACACACTTAATAATAGCCGCTAACGTATTTGTTTAACTAAAATGGTTTTTCCCTCCATTTGATGTCGCCTATCCACTAAGTTATAAATTATGGAGAGACAAATACATTTAAAAGCATCAGGTTTTCTGGACAAAGTCTTGAGCAATGTGGTCGGACAAATTCTGGACAAAATATCACAGGATAGGAGGATCCCTAAAATTTCCAGGAAGAAGAAGATTGACTTTTTTGGGATGATCTAGCGGATATCATTAAACAAAACCGTACGTACCATTATTTGGTGACATGGCAACAACTTGATCGA